CCTACACTTCATTGAAGAGGTCTAGCTCTTCTCACTTTCTTATCTTAACTCAACAGTATCTACTACTGTGTTTAGCAGACAGTCTGCAATTCATAAACACTTGCTGAATAACAAAGTCATAAAGTCGACAAATCCAACTTAAATACTTAATGATCAAAACTGTAATATACAATTAATCCATACTAAAATGTCATGAAACACGACAATATATCTTTATTTCTATAATATACTGGCATGAACACAAAAAATAGGATATTAGAAAACCATCGTACCCATATATTCATGGTATTCATGGTCCTCACAGGACAATATAAATCTGTTTACAAGTACACAGTGTGTTTGGAGGATTAATGTTCAGTTAATTGAGCAGCATCAATAATATTTACTGAAAACTTACACACCCCAGAAATACAAAAATGAAATAAGAAAAATCTAGGTTCTTATCAACAGATAAATCTCCAATCACTGTATGACATAAAATGTTACTGTCAGTTTAAAATAATTTTCAAAAACTAAATGTATCAAAAACAAGGTAGCATGTTAACTGTAGCAATGGACAATATGAACAATCTATATGAATAAAGGCACTTACATTTCAGAATGACTTCCGGCTATAGTAATTTTTGCTGAATACCATTCCCTCAAATGTTTTAGTGCTCCTACAGTAGGTAAACAGTCTTTCAATTTAGGAGGATCTTTGTCAGAGGGCAGTAGAATTACATCTATCATTGCTCTACCTAGAAAGAAAAAAAAAGTACCTTTGTCATTTTCAGAAAATGTTAGATCTGAAATATATTAAAAGTAGTATCCTAAACAAAATAGTACCCTGAGCAATTAAATATTTAGTTATAAAATAAAGGAGTACTTTAACTTTAATTTCTAAAACGTTTTAAAACAATATACATTCCTAAGAGTTTAATAAAAAAGAATTTTAAGAGAAATTTTTGCCATAGAGTGTGTATGCTCAACAGAGACACAAATAGAAAGTGAGAAATCACCCCTCAGGGCAATGGCCATGCCTCAATCCCCTCTCCTCCATTCTCCTCTTGAGATTTTGGGCACGCAATGCACACATGCCCAGACTGAGTTTTAAGTCACTGGGTCTAGGACTCAAACCACAGTCAACTATGTGGGAGTCTAGCAACATAAGCATTACTCCACTTGCTGGTCCCAAGTACAAAATTTTTAAATGTTCATCATTTGATTTGTTATCCTAAAATAGCTAGTATATATTAGAAAACAATGATCTCCATCATTAATTACATGCCAATTCTATAGCAGTGGTTAATTATACACATCATTCTTGAGATCATCAATGCTATTGTTGTACTCAATTGAGAAAAAAGACAAAACCAAAATACCTGGGCAACTACATTATAGTTTTCCACATTTACTTTTGTTGTCCAAAAGGAAATGAATTAGTATAAAATTATACTTCAAGTAAATTAGTTCTCTTTTAAGGGGATAATAAAACATTCAGAAAAGCCAATTATACTGATATCATGGGATCCAGAAAAAATAAATGATAACCTTATCAAACTTTAAATTTCATAAAATTATAAATGCACTCAAGGAACATAAGTACCAAAATGAAACAAAACCAAATAAAAATTAGACAGTGACAGTTTAATTCACCAAAATAGTAGTTTAATTATTTCAATGTGTAATCTGAACATGACACTAAAATCTTTATGCATTTGGGGCCAGCAGGTGGCATGGTGGTTAAAGCACTGGACTCCCACATGGCCAAATGTGGATGGAGTCCAAGACCGGGCAGTTTGAAAATTACATCAGGAGCATGTGTGTGCATGCCCAAAATCTGAGAAGAAAATGGAGAAGGGATTACACGGCAGCCATCCCTCCTGAGGGGTGACTTCTCACCTATCCTGTAACTGTCTCTCTCTGTCCCTCTCCAGCAAACACATGTGCTCTATGGCAAAAATCAGGAAAAAAAAAAAAAAAAACTATTAATGAATGTTAAAATGCACCAATTTTAGATGACAGCTATTTGATTAACACAAAGAAAGGTAAGTTAAAGATCAAGGCATTTTAAGAATAGTCTAAGACAGTAATTCACAAAATATGCTTTCCATTATAGGAAAAAGGCTGAGAAAATGGATACTCATTTGATGAATGTGTATACCAACTTTACCATAAAAGAACATTATCTAAATAATCTATTAAAAAACCTTTTCCTAGGATTTGTTTATAGGACTAGTGATCACAATGGTATATAATGGAAGATTCTTCTTTAGTAATTACTAAATAAGAAAATGGACATGAGCATTTAATTTTCAAAGTTCTAATTTGTGTATAACTAAATGGAAACAGAGAAAAGAAGTGTATTCCTCAGTAACAAACTATTAAAATAGGAGAGTACATTTTAAATCAAACTCAGTGAAGTTATTTTTCAATAGGAATTTCAAGATTTGAACTGAGAACACCAGTGTAAAGATTAAATTATCGCTCACTCATAAAAAGTAAAAAGTACAGATTATCCAAAGCAGTCATAAAATATTACCAGGAGCAGGAAGCTTGTCTGTTAGCTGATGCAAATTTTCTGCAGATTCTTCATACAAACTAAAATAAAGGTAATGAGAAAAACACACACGTACATATTACACAGAACCATAATGAGTAAGACTAAAGGGCTTCTGTGCCACACACCATTAAGTGTGTTAGACGTGCTAGCTTATTTGATCCTGACACAATAATCTCAGGTACTATTATTATTATCTACATTTTAAATAGCTTGCCTAAAGTCACAGAACTAGTATGTGTGGAAACTTGGATTGAAACCAGAAGTACAAATTCTCACCCACATCCAAAACACAAACAAACTAAAAAAAGAAAAGAACAAAGCTCCCTAAATTATATCTAGAATATTAAATATTAATGGTAACTAGCAGACCAAACATTTTTCTAAACCTTAAAAGTAGGGCCTTGCTAAGTGTTTAATAAAGAAGGGTACTGCTTTGATGTGAATGGCACTTAATAGTCCTGACTGTAGAATATGATGTCCTCAGATTCAAAATCTATTAGTTGCTTCCATAGAAGGACCTTTTTTGCTCAAAATAATATACTATATAGCATAAAGGGTTCTAAATTCTTTATTAAATGCACTATTGCCTAAAAAATGTGAGGCATTTTATGTTAAACCACAGTTTCCGAGCTCCCTCTTGTGGAAATAATTATTAGTTCACTTAGAAGTAGGAACTGTACCATGATTCAAAACATCCAAGTGAAGTCAAGTATGTATAAAATCCTCAAAAATTCTTCATGGTTTTTGAAAGGAATCTGAAATGCTGAAGATATACTGAAGAAGTCACATATTTGAGCCTTAAATAGCAAAATGAAAATGATACTCTGGCTTGAAATTTAGCTATTAACATTAAATAAAAGTCTATTCAAGCTTTTAAAATAAAGTATCAGGCAGAATTTACCTTCAAGAATGTGACAAGGAAGTGACATTAATTAAAATACCATTTTTTTATTCTTGCAATTAGATTTCGATTAAAAAGAAAACATTTCCAGATATCGCTTTCTTTTTAAAGAATTTCATTCAAGTACAAGCCCGAATTGCCTCATGTCTTCCAAAATAGAGGGATGAAAATTTCCATCAATTAGAAGCTGCTAAAATATATAACCTTCTCCTTTGTGACTTAAAATAAATGCTGAATGTTAGTTACTTTAACTGTAGTATAAAAACACATAAGCATACTCAGCCAGGGATAAAGATTCTCTGCTATTGCTGTCATCTTCTTCAAAACATTCAACAGCATTCAAACATTCTTCGATGTTTGTTTGAAGAACATCTTCAATCTTATCATTTTCTGTATCAAAATTTATCTCTTGCCAATCAGAACTACAAAACTAATAAATCAAAAGGTTGTATTAAATATTGGATCAATGGAATTCCTTATACTAGCAAAAGACAGTCACTAATAATTCTTTTTTTAAAATTTATATTACCTGATAAAATCCACATATTGCCTGCACTGCAAAGAACCACTTCCTGGAACCTGGTATACCACCTACTGAACAGGCTTGAAAACAAAATCATACTTATTAGAAAAAAGGCATACCATAACTCATATGTCATTGCATATGTATTTAAGAGAATTACATAATTTCAGAACACATGATATAGTTCTCTAAGTTATATAGATAAGAATCTTTTTTAAAAACTCTATTAGATATTTAAATATAGCAGAAAGCAAAATTACTCACTCAAAACAAATACTTTGCTTTAGTTTGTCACAGTTGAAAATCCATAGTGTTATTTTAATCATCATTTTAACTAGATTAGAATTTGTCATAAAAATGTTGAAAAATACACCGATTTGATTACTACTGAGTAACACAAAACCACGTGAGCCATTTTAGTGAAAATAACTCCCTTCTCTAAATACCATGCAGGTTTGGTTCAGCCAGGCTAGAGACTGAATTAAAAAGTAATACAGCCTCTAGGTAGGCAAGATGCTCTTCTTGGAGAATAGACATGAGAATATGAAAGTAAGAGTTACTTAGAGGACACATGAAAGGAGTCAGGAGTCATGAAGAATTTAGAGCAAAATATAGACACTGGGTTCAAAAGAGAGAGGAGAAAAGTGGGAACTGAGACTTAATCCCTGGAAGCCAGATAAGATGTTTAGCATCCATTAATACTTCAATGATCTCATCTGAAGACTGTACTTTCTACTCTCTAAAGAAAATAGAAGGCTTTAGATAGTAACACCTATAATATGCTTTCAGAAAACATACAAGCCCATTTGTGTTCCCATTAAATCTTTCCTGTTAGCAAGTAAGAGGCATTATCTTTCCAATTCAAAGTTATCCTTGAACCTCCTCTGAGATGGAGCCCACTGATTGGTTGTGTATCTGTCTTGCTTTTCAACTATTCTCCTCTCTAAATTCTTTCCCATTAGCATTTAGGTACACAAAAGTTCAAACTATTTTTTTACACCAATAGGGGTTTCTTTAAATTGACTTCACCTTTCCAGTTACTATTACATCTCTTCCTTTACCCATCTTCAAGGATAAACTTTCCAAAAATACTATCTACACTTGACTGTCTCCATTTCCTCCTCAACTTCCCCACTCCCAACCAAATACATTTTAATTTTTTTCTCCCAGATGTCATTGAAATGACATTTATCAACGTCACTAATAAGTGACTTGTTACTTAATATAATACTTTTCAGTTCTGCAGTCACTCAAACTGTCAGTTTATACTGATTAAGACAGATGCCTCAAAGATTGACTATGTTCTCCTTAAACCTTTGGTCTCAGGACCAGCAGATGGCATAATGGTTACATCGCTGGACTCCCACATGGTCAACCGTGGTTCAAGTACCAGACCTGGTCCAGAGAGGAGAATGGAGAAGGAATTGTGGGGTGGCCACCCCCCTCCCAGGGGGAGGGTGATTTCTCGCTTCCTGTCTCTCTGTCTCTCCAGGAAGTACACATGCCCTATAGCAGAAAAAAAAAATTTGGTCTCTACAGTACTTTCTTTCTGGTTGTTCCTCTCATTCTTTTACAGTTTGATGTTTAGTTTCTTTAAATACTGGGATTTAGTTTGAGATTTTCTGTTCTTCCCACTGTCCATAAGTAACTTCATCCTTTCTCATGGCTGTAATACCTACACATTGAAGATTCTATAATCTGTATCTCTAGCTCTACCCTGAATTTGAGTTCAGGACAAATATACCCAATTTTTAAAAAACATTCCTACTTGGACACTTCACAAGCAATCATTCAAATTCCAAATTGAACATGTCTAAGTCCCTCCAAATTTTCTTCTCCTATCTCACTGAATGTTGTCCAAGGCAGAAACTTGTCACTCTTGATTCTTCTCACCTCTCCTTTCTCCTAAGCCACACCAGTCCTTCAGTAAGTTAGGTAGTTTCTACTTTTCTAATTACATTCATAATTTCCTTCACATCAATCCATTTTCCTCCACGCTAGAATGCTCCAAAGAGGTCTTCTGCGTATACATTTGAGGCACAAGTGATTGAAAATCTTTACTGTGGTAATACAGTATCGACTAAAATTATACCAACTTGAAAAAATAAATAAGAGTACTACTGAGAGTTAGAAAACAAGTTATGCCCCATCACATTATTAGGGAAGCAAGTATTAAAAATCCTTTGGAAGGGTGACAATAGCCATGAAGGATAAGGGATTATCCAATAAAAGCAAAGAGAGAGGAGCAGACTGTCTGGTCATGAAAACTACAAAGTAATCATAATAAACGCACTCTTCTTGGCATCTAGAGAAACTTCGTTCAGCTTTTAGCACTGGGTCTGTTTTGCCATCTCCATTTTCTCAACTTGTAAAGGACATTCTCTAGTAGGGACTGAGAAGAAGTGAAAGAGAAGCTAATCGTAAAAGTAGTTGATGTACCTGTATAACATCAATAGAAGCTAAAGGAGAAAAGATTTTTTTTTTCAAATTAAAGGGTGTTTTAAAACGTGAAATACTTCAACATGTCAAAGAAGATAAAATCTTTTTTTTTAAGAAACCACTACGTTTAACAATTATGCAGTACTTTTAGAGGGTAGCTAAGAGCTAAAGACAGAAAACAAGCATGTTAAGGAAGTCAGTGTGGGAGCGTTAGCAACATCTTTTTACCCAGGACAAAATCCTTTCATAATGTCACATTATCCTATACTATATGGAACTAAAGATGGGCAAGAAAATGTCATAAAAGAGCAAAATTCCATCTGAGAGCCTAAAACAATTTGTATAACAACTGTATGACAAACATCAGGAAGAGAAGGGAAATGTCTTTTTCAGTGTTGGTATTCCCTTAGTTACCTCTGTATCCCAATGCCTTATACACAGTCAACAAGTATGAACGTACTCCTGGGTAACCATAGTAAGTTAATTCCCAATGCAAATGCTTTGCCAGAGAAAAGAGGACGTTTCATTATACTTACCAGGAAAAGTACTATCTTCAGGATTAATGGAAGCCCTAATGTTTCTTTTCAGGAAGTGATAAACATTTGCTGCAGTGAAGTCTAAACAGGAAAGACAGACTAATTCAGTGGATTAAAAAGTTAATATAATCTAGGCTTGGTCCCTACCACAGACTCTCAAGAACAGTATGCTGTACAAGAAAGAACTGCACACTTGCTACTCAACATCAGTTCAAATGTTGGTAAATCTAAAGCATGCACTAAAAATGGAAAACGTTCAATCTGTACAAGTCAACGAGTTAGCACACAAATCAAAAAATCCCCCCAAAAATATAATTTTGAGAAAGGAAACTGTCATAGAATCTTCTATGCAACCACATACATTTCCTCTGCAAAATGTCTCCCCAATTAAAAACAAATTAAAAAAATGCAATACAGAGTTTAGATGGGAGCACCAAAAGTAGTGCAATCGCAAAGGGTTAAAATCATTTAAAATTTATCATTTGTTTTTAAACATTGATATATATGTGGGATGTCTTCTCACATTAGAATGCAAACTCTAGGACGGCCAAGACCGTTATCCTTATTGTTCCTCTCTGTATTTACCTACATGAGGAACACGGGAGGCCGTGTTCAATAGTTACTGAATGCAGCATACGTTTCCCAAGTGCAGAAATTCTCCTAAGGCGTGGAGAATTTACTGAGTTATATATTTACTATGCCAAAAATTTCTGAGCGCTGGAATCTTGCTCCCATAAATGTGTTCCTATTCTTCCAGACAGATGGTATTTTCAGCTCTCATTAGATGTATCCCAGAGCGCGCCCCAGCTTCCTGGGACAACTGGACATAGGCCCATCCCCTGCAAAACTTAATCACAAACTCAAACTTCCCCTTCCCGCCCTTTTTCAATCCTGCGCTTACCCGGTTGCTTCTCCGTACCCTCAACCGACGACTCCTCTGGCCCATGCTCCTCCGGTCCATTGGCCGCCGAGGGGAATTTTCCTTCCCCCCAAACCACCAGCAGTAGGTACCGATCCATGTCCTCACAACTCACCCCAGTTTGAAGTCTGGGTTTCCACATCCAAACAGCCGCGCGCTATGACTCACTTCCGGTTCTGTTCGACTTAGGTCGCCTGGAAATTGTGCCCTCCGTCGGATTTCCGCAGTTCTCCAGAAAGTAGGTTATTTGGGGGAATTATTCTCTCAATACCTGCGTTAATTCCTCCCTTCATGACAGAATTGATACCATGGGAAAATCGGAGCAACTTAGGAAACGCAGAGAAGCAGAACACAAGACCGGCTAGGAACTGTAACGCTTGGGTATATGTGTTATGTGCCGGGCCGGTAATGCTGAGACACCGGGCTTGGCTCTAGGGAAAGCGGGCACTGTCCTGCCGAGAGGAAGCATGGCGAGTTTCTCCAGGGCGCCCCAGGTGAGTTCGGACTCTTGTAGTTTAATATGGTTCGTTCTACTGGCGGAAGGAGGGCGATCGTTTCCGATGATTCAGTAGTGAAGCTGATTCTGCTGGAAACCTAAAACCGTCGGCCACTGGCCGTGGGAAAGGAGAGACGAGGGGGTTTGGCCTGCCCTTGCCTTGGTCCTTTTGGTACTGGTCCCCTTTTCATTCATCCCTTTTGTCTTTTTTCCCAGGAAAGAGGGTCAGAGAAGTCTTAAAGGTGACATACAGCACTGTAGATACCCCATGGGAGGAAGTTGCTTTTACTTAGTAAATTGGGGACCTGTGATCCAAGACGTAACAAGATCTGATTTAGATATTAAAAGAAGCACTTGACTGCTGGATTGAGAACAGACTGTTGAATAGTGGGAATTAATATAGGACAGAAATAATCCGTTTGGACCTTTTTGCAGTACTCTGGGCAGTACACTGCACTACACTGTTGTACAAACTAGGCCAGAAACATTGGTGTATGTTACCTATCCACGATGAGAAGGAAGTGCAATTAAGTGCAATTAAGCACTTACAATCTTTTACGGAAATTTGATATTGTGACAGTGTTTGTATTTTTAAATTTAAACAAAACAAAGATAAAACAAACAAACTATTTCTTCCGTAACCCAAAGAGACAGAAAGAGAACGCTCCCAAAGAGATCCGGACACTGTGATCCACTCCTAACCTCAGCCAGACTTGGATCGTGGTCATGTGTGTGCCCAGCATGCTCTAGGAGGTCTCAGTACATCAAACCTGTATTTTCCCATGTGGGTCAGCTTTGCAGAACCTCACATTTTATCACTGTACCACTTTATTTTTTTTTTTCATTTTTTGAAGTATTAGCCTACAATGATTGGGGGGTGACCTAGTCTTTTACTTATGTATAGGCTGGTTTGAGGTTTGTGATAATTAAATTAAAAATAAAACCAGCTAGCTTAGTTGTACTTTTTCCAGCATCCTTTGGTTTCTTAGGCACATGAATACAGAAAGCATCTGGTTAAGATCTTTCTGGGGTGAACTTTCATCAGAGTTTGAAGAAATCTATGAATACTGCAAAAACAATGGTCTATGCCTGAAGTAACCAAAAGATCTGCTTAACTCTGCTCTGGAATTGAACTTCTGACTCATCCTTAGTTTCCTTGTGGCCTTTCAACTTTCAATATAATGTACCATTCATCTCAAAAGGTTTTTGAAGACATTCATAAAAGTGTATACTTTCTGAACTTTTTCACTACCCCTCCAGATTCTGTCCTGTGTTATGCCAAAAATAGAGGCCTTCAAAAAGTTCACAGAGGGACCAGCAGATGACGTAATAGTTACATTGCTGGACTCCCACGTAGTCGGCCATGGTTCAAGTCCCAGACCCGGCAGCTTAACATTCACAACAGGTGTGTGTGTGTGCCCAAAATTCTGAGAGGAGAATGGAGAAGGGATTTCAGTGTGACCATCCCCCGGGGAATGATTTCTTTCTGTCTCTCTGGTGAGTGCACATGCGCCATAGCAAAAATCTCTCTCTACAAAAAAAAAAAAAAAAAAAAAAAGTTCCCAGAAATGTATATATAGTAAATTATGTTATTTCCATTTAATTAGGGTTTTTTTTTTTTTCAAGCAATGGGCCACTTTTGCTCGAGTGTGGTATCTCTTAGATGGGAAGATGCAGCCCCCTGGGAAACTTGCTGCTTTGGCATCCACAAAGCTTCAGGGATTACATAAACCTGTGTACCATCCATTGAGTAAGTATTGCCCTACTCTGCTATTACTCTAGTATGGTCTTTTCACCACACATCTGCTATAAGTATTTTTTTTAATGAAAGTTAAAGTAAAAGCCAAAGTTTTGCCAATCCCCTGTTAGGACTTACATGATTTAGCTGCTATGGTGTCTCTAACTTTAATTTCCTAACTCTGTCCCTTGAACAATCCACCCAGGCCTGTTGTTCCATTAACTTCCCTGCCAAGCACATTTTTGCCATAGGGCCTTTTCACATTCTGTTCCCTCTGCCTGGATACGTTTTCTCAGACTTCTCCATGGCTTGTTCCTTCACATCTTTCAGATTTCTGCTGTTTTTTGTATTCCGGGAGACTTCTTCCCAGCTTCATGTGTCTGTTCACCCTTTCACTTTAGATCTTTACTTTGCCTTGCCACGGTAGTATGTGCTGATTGATGCTGCTGATTGGCAGTCAGAGGCCACATGAGACTTGGGTTCCATGCCCAGCTCACCCTAAAACCTGCATTTGGTGACACTTGCCTGTAGTCCAAGCTATCCAGAAGGCTGAAGGGAGAGGATTGTAACACAGCCAGCCCCTGTCCTAAAATAGATACCTGTTACATCAATAATTGCTTATTATCTGTCTTCCTTCACTGGTCTAAGTACCAAAAAGACAGAAACTTTACCTGTCTTGTTCACAGCTACATCTACAGTACCTGTATCTGTGCTTGACACATAGTTGGATTGCAAAGAATATTTGTGGCATGAAGGCATGACTTCATGAATACCAGTTTGGGGATTACACAGTGGTTCAGGGTTAAGGCAATGTTCCATGGTGCTGATTAACACGAGAATGTTCCAGGCTCACATCAGACACCTCCCTGAATATGCTGAGCATATGCAAACCTAAGATTTGAAGCTAAGAGGGGATTATGAAGACCTTGTTGGGGCTTTGGTCTCTCTGTCTCTTTCTCACTCATAGGGGAAAAATAAATAAAATTAAAATACTAGTTTAATAAGAGTGAAGAAATTCCTTTTAGCCAACACTCTGGCAGTTAAGTTAGAGTTTTGGCTTTCTGGAGCTAAGTGGAAAGATTATTCCAATAATTCATTTTGATAAGGATTATGATTTTCTCTGTTTCTTACACCTCCTGCTCTAATGTTTCCCCCTGACTGTCTTAGTATGTTGTTGTGTTGCTAATCAGAAATGCCTAAGATTAGGTGGTTTATAAAGAAGAGATGTTTATTTGGCACATGATGCTGGTGCCTGGAAAGTCTGAAAGCATGGGGCTAGCCTCTGGTCCTGCATTACATCATGACCAACAAAAGCAGGACACCCAGTGGGTGCATACAAAAAAAGAGAGAGAGACCTGCAGACATCTTTTATAACAACCAGCTCTTGTGGGACTAAACCCTTCTCACAGCAGCATGGACTCACACCTCCTTAAATCACATTAATCTATTCATGAGGACAGTCTTCCATGATACAGACAACATCCCCTAGGCCTTATCTCTTAAAGGTCCCTCCACCTCCCAACAGCATTACATTAAGGACCAACTTCCAACATAAGAACTTTTGGGGGACAAACCATTATCCAAACTATAGGATCCACATGATGACAACTTCAATAAGATAAAAATAAGCCCACGTCCTGTGAAATATGTAAGTCTGTTATATGGATCTGAGGATTTTGTAATGTGAATCTTTGTTTTTCAAGTATCTTGTATACTTTGTGGCCCAAAATTTAGGTGCTTGTCATAAGTAGTTTGGGGAATTATACCTTCAAAAGGATATTTTCTCTGAGTACAGTCAGTTTTCAATTTTCCCTGTAGTTATGGTCTATAAAGTCAACCATGAACATGAATTAGTGAACACTGAAGCATTGCTTATAAGGGGAATATAGGGTTCGGTTCCTGTGAGCATCTGTCACAATGTTGTTGAAAACCAGTCAGTTCACGTGGTCAGCCACAATCTTTCTCCTTTTATTTCCTTCGTCTGTCAGGATATTTTGGGCATGCACACACATACCTGGTGTGCACCTCAAGCTGCCAGGGCCAGGACTTGATCTGTGGCTGGCCACGTGGGATCTGGCTCCCATTGCACATTGCCCATCTCTCATCAGCTCTCCTTTGATTTACTCATTTAAAGAAAAGTTCGATTTTCCTTTTAATATGTAACTTAAATCAGCAAAATTTCTCATATCTACGAGATGTTACTAAAATCTAAATCTAAATTGAAAATAATTGTCAGTTCATAAATAAGTTTCAAGTTTCTTTCTTTTTTATTTTTTAAAGCAAGATGTTTTGCTACATTGTGTGTGCACTCACTGGAGAGAGAGAAACAGAAACCGAGAAATCACCGCCCCCTCCCCAGGGGGATGGCTACACCGCAATCCCTTCTTCACTCTCCTCTCAGAGTCTTGTTCATGCACGCACATGCACCTGACAGAAGTTTTAAGCCACCAGGTCTGAGACGCAGTTGACTATGTGGGAGTCCACTGACATAACCACATAACCACCTCTGCTCCCTGGTTTTAAGTTTATTTTTAACACTTACTGGTTCAGTAAGCACTTTTTTAATTGCCAGAGAGTGTGTTTGCACTCAGCAGAGAGAGACAGAGATTCAGAGAGAGAGAAGGATAAAGAGAAAGCAGTCCTCCAGGGGGGCACACTCACACTGCAGTCCCTTCTCTATTTCTCTATCCTTTTGGCATTTGGGGCACATATGATCACGCACCTGGAGTGTTTTTCAAGCCGCTGGGGCTGGAATTCTAACCACAGTTGGCCATATGGGATCCAGCTCTCTTGAAAAGTATGCTATGGGGCTGGCCCAATAAACGTTTATTAAGCATCTATTATGTGTTCATCATCACTGTAAATATATTTGTGTCCAAATCAATCTACAATTTCCATAAAAAAATTAAGCATTGTAGTCATATTTCCAATGATAACTATAAAAATTAACCACTAATATATCTGAACATAATGTATATGGTGGTTGAATTATTTTTTGTCAAATGAGTCTTTATAAAGTGTGAAAAATCAACTTCTGTTCATAAGGCTATTTATGATGGAAAATGAGATCTGGATCAAACTGGAAGTGGTATGAACTAGAAAAACAGTTCCGTGTAATTAGAGTTGTCTGTCTGAGTTTTGCACATGGAAACCTTTTGAACATATTTCTTTTCAATTACAAATGAAAAGAGAGGGTATGTGATGATTCGTGAAGTGTGACTTTCTCTTCACGAGAGCTCCACTCCTTTCACTGCCAATAGATTTCTTAGTTGAGCATTTTAGAAGAAGCAGAGAGAATCCTTTCAATAGCATTATGTAAAGTTATCTTTAGACTATCAAAATACTCCTGGTCTGCATCAAATGAAATAAAGCTGCACACTACTTTTAAAGGTTAATGTTATAAAACTAGAGCATGAACCAGTTCAATCAAGTTTAGATTTTATGATCTAATTTAATCTCTAGTATTTTGTCTTATCTGAGTTTATGATGTTCCTAAAATTATCTAGAAAATGTTTTTCTATGATTGAGTTCAATGTCAATATATTTTAAATGTTAATTAATTTGTTACTTTTATTTTATAAGCACATTTATACTCAGTTTAATCCTAGACTATCATTCTGTGATCCACTAAAAGAGACTTTGTACCAGCATTTTTTTACAATACTTTTAAATTTTAGAAGTGGATATTTAGATATTGTCAATAAATTTGAACAGCGCATCTCATTCCTATCACAGTCTTTGTGCTCAGTAGATTTTATGGTATCCTACATGATCACTTGTCATATTGGCCATGCATCAGGTCAAGGATACCAAGCATGATGAAGTAAGTGTTTGGAGGAAGGTTACATTGCTACATTTGAAACTTTCTACAAACTGGAAGAAAATATTTGTAAACCACAAAGGGCTTATGTCGAGAATATATAAGGGGGCCAGCAGATGGTGTGGTGGTTAAGGAGCTGGAATTCCCACATGGCCAACCACACTTCAAGTTCCTGACCTGGCGGTTTGCTTTCTCACTCTCTTTCTCTGACAAAAATCCATGTGAAAATTAATTAGTTAATTAATTAATTTCTTTTAAAAAAAGGATATGTAAAGAACTCTCAAAACTCAAGTTAAAGAAAGAAACCAATGTAGTTAGAAAATTGTCAAAATGTATAGGTCACAAATAAGCACATAAAGAAAACCATTAAATGTCAGTAACCATGCAGATTGAAAATCTGCAGATTTAAACCATGATGAGATATCCTTACACATCTACCAAAATAGCTACAATGAAAAATAGTGACAAATTGGGCCAGCAGATGGTATAGCAGTTATGTCACTGGACTCCCACAGAGCCGACCACAGTTCGAGTCTCAGACACAGTGGCTTGAAAATCACATCAGGTATGTGTATGTGCATACCCAAGTTCCTGAGATGAGAATAGAGGAGAATGGATTGTGGCATGGCCATCCCCCTGGAGGTGTCCTTTCCCTCTCACTGTCTCTGTCTCTTCTCTCTCCCTACGAAGTGCATATGCCCCAAGGCAAAAACCCCTTAAAAAAAAAGAAAAAGAGAAGAGAACAATACTGACAATAAGAAATGCTGATAAATATAAGAGAAGAATACTGACAATAAGAAATGCTGATAAATATACTGAGATACTGGATTATTCATACATTACTGGTGGAAGTGTAAAATAGCACAGCTGCTCCAGGGAAGAGTCTGGCCGTTTCTTAGAAAACTAAACATGAGCTCACCATTCAGCACAGCCATCTCACTTAGACATTTACTCGAGACAAATGAAAATTTCATTCCACCCAAAAGCCTATACTGCTCAACAGTACCTCTCCCTATTCCTTCCTGTCCCTCTACATTTATCCACTCCTGTCCCATTGATATTTGTTTTCTTTATTGCCTACCTCCCTCCATGAGAATGTATGATGTGTTAAGAACAAAGATTTTGGTTACATTAACTGCTATATTTACAGCATAAGAAACAGTTCTTTTTATCAGCAAGTAGTAAATAATGAGTAATTAAATCAGTGAAAAGAATTAGAAAGTGATTTTAAAAGAACCCAAGAGTTCTACCTAACATAACAGATGTCTGCATCTGAATCTGTCCTTGCCTGGTCACTCAGACAGTTTGAAACAGTCTAATTTCTAAGATAGGAACTAGGAGCATCTCCCATAGCATTTAGGAAGGGAATTGTGGGCGTGTGAATGATAGTATAAACCTCATTTACATTAAACAATAGGAATTTTTCAACTTACTGTGACCATTAACTCTATAGCATAAGGGATCTTCAATTAATGACCTTCAACAGGGAACTTACATGAAGAGAATAAGATTATACAAATAATAGAGCAAAATAGTTGAGTATCATGAGAAAAATTCAGGCATCTTTGCAGAATCAAAGGGAGCTAATTTTGATACTATAAAAGACTGTTAAAAAAAAACTGATATTCACATTGGATCATGGTGTGAGTGGTTGGTTGAGAGTGCTTGTCTCTTTCACTCTCTCATAGAAAATATTAATAAAGAAACTTTTAAAAAAAACTTTAAAAAGCAAACAATGAACAGCCAAACTTAAGGTTTCCTTTGCTAGAAAATTAATGCAATACATATATTTTAATTTTTAGGTCATGAGTCAAATATATTTATAGTCATGCTTAAAAGTGCCAATTTAATTAAATGTGGTCATAGAAAAGCTTGCAGAGGTAGTTAAGCACAAGATTATAGTGCTCTATTCTCTAAATTTCAAAATAATAATTATGATGTTTTATGTTTGTTTTCAATTTACCTGTTTGTAAATCATATTTTTTATGTTTATATGCATATTATTTTCATTTTCTCTTCTGTTTATAAGGGAAGCTTTGAATCATTTATTTGAAGATATTTAGTATAAACATTTTTAGTAAAGTATAATTATTAATGGAAAGAGTAATGGGAACAACAGTAGTTTGCCTTTAAAAAATTTATTGTCGATATTGGCATCTTTATTAAATTCACTTTTACCTTCCAACGCTAAGATTTTCCAAATGACCTGCCAACTCTTTCTATACTTAGATGTTTTATAAAATAGTAACAGAAATCTGTTTAAGAATTTTTGATCTTGCACTATGACTTGCTTTTTGTTTTTTTAATGTGTTGTTTGGACTTTGATAAGCTATATAAATAAGTATAGTCACTATTTAAAGTTGTTATTTTTCATATAAAATCTTTTTTCCCCCCTAAATCTAGGTGACTGTGGGGATCATGTTGTCATAATGAACACAAGACACATTGCATTTTCTGGAAACAAATGGGAACAGAAAGTATATTCCTCACATACTGGGTAAGATCATGGTCATTGTCAAGGAAAATAGGTAGTTGAAATGCATTGCCATAAGAATACCATTGCTCTTATTTGTGGGAGAAAAGATGTTTTCTAAAACTGGCATGTAAGAAAACACTAATTTTACTTATGTACATATGTCATTTATGCAATCAGAAAGAAAATAACAGCAACAACAGAACAAGTTATCCCTGTAGTCTAGTGGTTAAAGTAGTCATAGTCTACATGGTAAACTGCAGTTAGAATCCTGGCCCCAGGAGCTTGAAAAAACACTGGGCACCTGTACATACATGCCCTAAATACTCCTAACAGGATGGAGAAATGGAGAAGGGATTGTGGCATGACTACATTCCATTGGGAGATACTTTCTCTGTGTCTCTCTGTAGTGAGTGTACATAACCTTCAGCAAATGAAAATAAAAACAAAAAAATTACTGTACCAAGTTTAGTTATTGAAGTAATTACTTCAGTATTTGTATATCATGGAAGCTTCATATATAACCTCTCTGATCAAGATTACTCTTTTGTCAGCATTCTCATTTCTTTTTCTTGTAATTGATCTTACTGCTGTTTCCAGAACCATCCTGAACATCTGAAAGTTCACAAGATGTTCGAGGAGTGGTGAGCAAAATCCAAGGTTGAAAGATAACCTAACATCTCCACTATGTCTTTTGCAAGTAATAGGTCTTTCTGTGCTTAAGTAATAATGAGTTTATAGTTACAGAGGCAGCCCATATTCCCCCCTTTGAAATGGTCTATTTTTTTTTAGAGAGATTTTTGCTGTAGCTTGTATGTACTGGCCAGAGAAACAGAGATAAAAAGTGAGAAGTGACCCCTCCCCCCCGGGGGGATGGTCACGCCACAATCCGTTCTCCATTCTCTCAGGATTTTGAACATGCATGCACATACTGGGCTTGTGTTTTAAGCCTACAGGTCCGGGACTCAACCAATCAACTATGAGAGTCCAGCAATGTAACCAATACACCGTTCGCTAGTCCCAGTGTAAAGTTTGGAAACACCTTTATGCTGCTGAATCATTATTTTTTTTTTTCCTTTCCTATTGGCCTTAGTTTTCCTCTTCAAGACTGTGAAATAATTATATTTCTCGTGGCATCATCAGATAATTTTGAGACAGTTAATTATTAAGCACCCACTGACTTATCTTTTCTATGTGCTAAACATGCCAAGTATTTTTTTTTTCAAAGTTCTACATATGACAGGACATCAAATATCCTCATATCTTGTTTTCTCTTCTTTAGATACAGTCATTAGTCAGTGTCTGAAGACACTCATCTGAGTGTGTGCTGGTAATTTCAAAGTACTATGTCAGTCTTTCCTCCATCTTTCAGTTTGTCAATCTTTTATTGTAATAGAACTCATCTTTTCAAGCCTATATCCTTTATGGGACTTATTGAGTTTACCGCCAGTTTGAACTCCTGTCTTTCTCAGACACGAAAAAGTTGTATAGTCATGTCTCTCCTACCTTTGTTTTAGTTGTGTTTAAATATAACTGTAAGACTTTACTGTGTTACATTTTATGTCCAGTCTTTTAGGAGGCTTGAGATCCTGGTTTAGTCTTCTTTTTTTTTTTTTTTTTTTTTTTTTTTAGAGAGATTTTCTCTATAGGGCGCATGTGCACTCGCTGGACAGATAGAGACAGAGAGACAGAAAGTGAGAAATCACCCCCCGGGGGAATGACCATGCTGCAAACCCTTCTCCTACATTCCTCTCTCAGGATTTTGTACACGCACACACATACATGCCTGGTGTGAGTTTGAAGCCACTGGGTCTGGGACTCAAATCGTGGTAGACTATGTAGCAGTTCAGCAGCGTAACCATTATGCCATCTGCTGGTCCCCTGATTTTGTCTTCTGATATATTGGTTAATCAGTAGCCTTGGGTTATGTGCAAATTTAATTAAGCCTACCTTCTACACTGTTATCCTAATTATGATTAAAGTGTTGATCATTTAGTCTTGATCAAAATGATTCTTTTATTCCCAACTTCACCTTAAACTTTGATATTCGTCTCTGTTTCTTTCATCTCTTGCCCAAATGCATCTTAAATGCTTAAAATAACATTTTTGCTTTCTTTACCCATTCCTCCTTTTCAAACACATTCCTGTGGGCCGGCCAGTGTCATGTGATTGGTGTGACTGGATCTAACATGGCCACTTGCACAGTTCGAAGTGGCTTGAGAAGTATACAAGCAGTATGTGTGTGTCTGCCCAAAATCCTGAAAGGAGGGGTGGAAAAGGAGAAAGGACCGCAATGTGACTGTGTCACATGGAGAATCATGGCGCTTTTTCTACTTCTGGTGACTGCACATCTCCTCTGGCATAAATTTAAAAAAAAAAGAAATTATGAGGTCTTTAACACAAATGAATTTATATTCATCTTTAGTAATTTCTGCTCTTGTTACATCTCTGTGTAAAAAAGCAGTTCTACAAAATTTGAAGGTATTGGGAAAAGAAAGATGAAAGGCCAGAATAGGATAGTATGATAAAAGCATGTGGAGAAGTATTGATACAAAATGCTATCATAATTCCTTAACAGCCATATCTAGTAATACTGTAATTAAAGAAAAATAACAGCATAGCCATCAGTGAACAGTTAGCCTACTGTATACATATCAACTGATATTGCATTTTCTTTATTTTTTTTAGAAAGGTTTTTGCAGTAGGGCACATGTACTGTTGGAGAGACAGAGACAGAAAGTGAAAAATCACCCACCGGGGGTGGTGGCCACTCCACAATCCTTACTCTTCCACTCTCCTCTTGGGATTTTAGGCATGCACGTACATGTACCCAGCATGAGTTTTAAGCTGCTCGGTCTGAGACTTGAACAGGGGCCACTACAAGAGAATCCAGGAAAATAACCATTATGCCATCTGCTGGTCCTGCTATTACATTTTCACTAGTGAAAGTAGGGCTTTCTTACCTACTAGATGAAAATTCAAACCCCTTTGCAAGTTGCTGGGACCCAGTTATCACTGCTGCTTCATAATTCTTTTAAGCATCTTGCTGTTTCTTACCATTCTTTCTTTGCATGTGCATTCCCCTAATAGGACTGTCATTCCCCCTGTGTTTCTCAGGAACACTCCCGTTTGTCCATTAAAAACTGGCTCAGATGTCACCTTTTCCAGGCTGCCTTCCTTATCTCCTCATCATTCTTAGGGTTAATTGCTTTTCGATTCTCTGTTTCTGTTGGCTCTTCACCTACACCTTGGTCTTCCTGCTTTATTATAATCATACACTCTATATTAATTATATATTCAAAATTTAAATTTTTAAGTGTAAAAGCTTTAATACATGCTAATTTTGGAAAATAGAGAAAAGTTTAAAGAAGAAACTAAAATTCACTTCTGATCCCATGACCTAACATTTTTTTAAATTTTCACTCTGTTTTTAATTCAGTGACCAAAAAAAAAGAAGAAAAAAAGGGAAGTCATATAAAAGTGCTTCAAAAGGCCAAGTGTGGTCAGTCTGCACTTGAGATTACAAAATATTGGTTCCTATTCTTTAATTGTAGAAACGAACGAAGCTTTCAGAGGAAGCCATAAGGGTAGGAAGAAAATGACTGGACTTCCCAGGAGGTGTCCTGGGCTATCACACTTACCCTCCTTAAGGTTAGGACTGCTTGGGTTAGATTAGAATGTAAGTGCACAAAATGATTTTTAGTGAAGGCACAAGGATCATTGCATAAAGGAGCATAAAGAGGGGCAGAGAGCAGAATTAAGCCGGGGCAAATGCAAGACAAAGGAAGACAGTTTCTTCATATCCCTTCAATTCTGCTGGGGCTGAGGTCTCATTATTTGCCCCTTAGAGAAACAGTCTTCTTCATGCAGCCCATTTGCTTCCTGTTCTTGCTCATGATACTCTCAATGCAGTAGTTCCCAGTGCTGAGCCAACTGGCAACCTCCAGGTCAGGCAAGGTGATACCAAGTCTTGGGTAGTGAATAGGTGCCTTCTTTGAAGGGACAGTGGAAGGAAACCCATAAGTGTGTAGGGGCTCTGGGCAGGACTGTCTAGGAGGAATGAACATGTCAAAAACATTACAGAAGTTTTCAGAGGTACAGCTGCCCATGTGGTCCACACACAGGATCTTAAGCCAAATGCCCCCCATGTCCTTTTCCACAATTAAATCCACCTTCAGAGGAGACTGGAGGGGGACGCTGGTCCTACCCAGGGCACTGAGGTTGACATTCCCAGGAACAACAAAGGAGTCAGGCTTCAGTCAGACTTTTGATCACAGTAGGATCCTTTGTTTCATCACAGTTAGCCCAGCTAAATTTACTGACCTTGTTCAGGCCGTTGCTGCAGGGGCCACAGGGCTAGTGAGAAACGAGCCCCAGGAGAACAGGAACCAAGCCTGTGTCGGGATACATTGCAAAGGGTGTGACTGCCCAGAGTAAACTACCGACCTAGCATTTTAATATAGATAAAAGTTTATAGCCTTTTTCACTTAGTATAAAATTCTCAGAGAATCTTTTTGTAAGTATTGAGTTGTCAGGAAACTCAATACTTGCTCTCTCACTTTATCTCTCTCGCTCTTGCTCTCTCTCACTCTGTCCTTCTCTGGTCAAATTTAAATAAATAGAGTTAAATAAAATAATTATTTAAAAAAATTAAATCTCTGGAAATAGATGAATTTCAGGATTAAAAATATACTTTCAGGTTTTGAGATAATTGCTTTAAATATTATATTATTGCATAGGAGAGCATAAGTTATCCCAAAATGTGGAGTCACAGTATTGCCATTAAAAATAATTGAATAGGGACCAGCAGATGGAGTAGTGGTTAAGGTACTGGCCTCCTACATAGTCGACTGGGGTTGAAGTCTCAGATCTGGTGGCTTAAAACTCACACTGGGCATGTGTGCCCAAAATCCCAAGAAGAGAATGTAGGAGAAGGGATGGTGGCATGGCCATATCACCTGGAGGATGATTTCTTGCTATCTCTTCCCCTCTCTGTTTCTCCAGCAAGTGCACTTGCCCTATAGCAAAAATTTCTCTCAAAAAAAAAAAAGAAAAAGAAATTGAATAATAGAGCTTTATTCTTTGGAGGGGCTTCTGATTGTTTATATTATGTTAGGTCTCTGCTTTTCTTTGTCACCTTATCTATTTTTTTAAGAATTATTTATTTAATTTTATTTATTCACTAATTTATTTCAATTTGACTACAGAGAGAGGGAGAGAAAGTGAGAAAGCAAGCCACCAGGTCCAGAACTTGAACCATTGTTGGCCATGTGACAGTGTCCAGTGCCTTCATCCCCACATCACCTTCTGGCCCCTGTCACTTTATCTATTAAGAATATTAATTTGATTCACTTTTTTACTTCTTCAAATTTTCTTTATGAAAGAAAATCTACTGCACTGTTAACTTGGATGATTAAATTTGTGTTTTTATTTTGTAATCTCTTTTGTTTCCCATTTTCAGAAACTCCTTTCTTGTCTAAATATATCATAAACATTAACTTCTAGTTTTTCTAAGAGTTCAGCAAATTACCCATCTTAAACATTCACATGTGACTCTTGTCATTTAACTCGTATTGTCAAGAATTAGGGATATGGCTTACTACTGTTGGTATCAACAGAATTTACTTAGTCTTTTTATTTTATTTTTTTTTTTTTTTGAGGATGGGATTCTGGAAGGTTTATGTGTGTTTCCCAGTACCGTAATAGACATTTTCTAAGTGGTTATTGAGTTAATTTGAAGTGAAAAACCCTTGACTATCTTTTAAAATAAATTCTTCCTCCATTGAAGCTATTCCATACTGGAAGAAGAAACGTAGTTATTTTTTCACTAGTAAAATTCAAATGAATATTGCATTGCTCAAGTCATTCCCTACTCGGAATTTATATCTGCTTTCCAGATCCTCCAGGATAAAGTCCAAACTCATGAAATTTGTGTAAACGGAATTATGCTTAACTTGCTATCCCAGTGTGAAAAATAGAAAGCCGTTCTGTAGAGTAGAAATCATAGTTTTTAAAAAAAAAAAAAAAAAGGAAGAAGAAATAGTAGTTTTTTCCCCATGGAGAGAAAGGATTAAGTATAGAAGTCTAGACAGGATTTTTTTTTTTTTCTGTAACTGAAATTCCATTAAAGAAATAAAGGAATACCAGTTTGAAAGTTACCCATCTTGTTCAGCAAACTTCTAAATTTGATTTTTAATTTCATTTCTAAAGTATAGTTCCTTAAATCATCTTTAAAATATTCTTGTCTTGTTGAAAGAAATTTATGAATTGACTCACATTTCAGTAATATTAAGGTTTTCTTGCAGAATCCAGTGGCCTTCCACTTTTCTTCCCTTTCTTGAAAATTGTTTGTACTTTATTCATCTATTTAGGACAATAAAACCTTACAAAAATTTGTTTTAAGTTTTTTTTGGGGGGGGGTGTTTTGTTTGTTTTTGCTTTGTTTTTGTTTTTGCTATAGGGCACTCAAACTCACTGTAAAGAGACAGAAAAGGGGAAGGAAGAAAAGAGAAATCACCTCCTAGGATGATGGCCAGTAGCAGTCCCTTCTCCATTTCTCTTTTTGGGATTTCGGGCATGTACACACATCCACCCATGGCGTCTTTTAAGCCGTGAGGTCTGGGACTCAAACTGCACTGCTGGCCATATGGAATTTGACTGCCTTAACCACCGTGCCACAGTGCTGGCCCTGTATTAAGTTTCTTAATTTCTGACACATTTTTCTCATTTGACTTTCAAAAATTTGTGAAGTAGATAGGATAGATACAATTTTTCTTTTATATGATGAAGTCATACTTAGGTGAAATGAATTGCCTAGTAGTGTACTAGGTGTCACCTGGACACCTAAATCCCAGGCCTGGATCTGCATTATCTAGTTCTAGTAATATCCCCAATACCTTTTTATTTTCAAGCCTAACTCAAATCTATCTATTTTATATATAATAAAATATATATTGTATTTGGTCTATTGAAATATATTATTACTTAAATGTGTGCATTTTAATGGTGTTTAGCCACTAAGGAACAAGATCATTAACAATTTAGATTATGAACTTCTCTTCCAGATTCAGGGGTGTAGCACTGTTGCTCCCAAATTTAACCCCAGCTTGTACAATTTGTCTAACTTGGCAGGGCTCGTGAAACATATTGGCTTGTTACTGTTTCTTTCTTACATAGTAATAGAGTAGCCCATAATGAATGAATGAGTGATGAATGATTTAAAATTCACAAAGAAATAGAGTTAAACCAAGAAATTTTTCCAAGATATAGAACTTTTTTTAAAATAACAAGTTGACCACTTAAGAACATTTCAAATAACATAGGTTACCATAATTTTAAGACATACTAATGAACAGCATAGTTTCCAGAGACAAGTATAACTTATGAAAATAGTTTTCTTATTATAAAAGAATGACCAGTTTAAGAATGAAGAGCCTCTGCCCAATTTTAACGTCTTTGCTTCTTTTAACAGCTATCCAGGTGGATTTAGACAAGTAACAGCTGCTCAACTTCACCAGAGGGATCCAGTGGCAGTAAGTTTATTGTATTTTTTATTTAATATCTATGTAAAGACCAATGCAGACACTGTTTCTTCAGCCATTCTTGTCTAATATCATTTACAATTGGGGCTTAAAGTCTTTATTTTAGCTGTATCACATGACTTTTGATGAGTATTTTTACTATTCAGCTCTACCTTTTAGTTATTATCAATATTTGCTATATTTCCCAGTTAGTCAATGATTCTGATGCTTTTTTTAAAAAAAAAAAAATTGTTTCTAATTGTCAGAGGGTAGTTATGCTCACCAGAAAGAGATTAGAGAGAGAGAGAGAACCCACCAATAAATAGCGTGTGTCATGCTATAACCCTTTTTCTCCATTTCTCCATCTTATCAGGATTTGGGGCACACATGTACATGCACCTGATATGTTTTTCATGCCACCAGCTGGGATTCAAACCCTAGTAGACCGTGTGAGATTAGTTCCCTAAACACAGATACTTAACCACTTGGCTCTGAGACTAGCCTTCTTTTTTAAAATTGTTGAGATTTGTATAGTTGCACAGAATATGAGTCTGCAGAAAATGCCTTGGAGAGAGAGAGAGGTGTGTGTGTGTGTGTGTATATGTGTATATTTGTATTATCAGTTATGCTATGTATGTTGTTCCTATCTTATGTTCTTAGCAACTTATTTTGTTCTCTCGATTTATTATCTGAAAGAGTTAAGTTAAAATCTCAATTGTGAATTTGTTAATGTCTTCTTGTGGACCTGTCGGGATTTTGTTGTTGTTGTTTTGTTTTGTTTTATTTTGTTTGAGAGGTTTTGCTATAGGGCGTGTGTGCTCGCCAGACAGACAGACAGAGAGACAGAAAGCAAGAAATCACCCCTCCCCCAGGGGGGATGGCCACGCCGCAATCCCTTCTCCTCCATTCTCCTCTCAGGATCTTGGGCACGCACGCACATGCGCTGGGTGTAAGTTTTAAGCCACCAGGTCCAGGATGCGAACCGTGGTCAACTACATGGGAGTCCAGTGACAATGCCATTACGCTAACTGCTGGTCCCATGGACCTGTTGGTTTTTTATTTAGTATATTTTGAAGGGTTTGTGTTAGATGAATTTAATTTTGGAATTATTTTAATTTTTTTTTAATTTGTCAGAGAGAAATAGCACAAAACACCCAATAGGACATGATTGTTCCACATTCTCTTCTGTATTTCTCTATCCAAAAGGAATTTTATATCCTTTTGGAATTTTGGTTGTGCATGTATATGTGCCCAGCATGTTTTTAAGCCACTGAAACTGGGATTTAAACCAGTTGGCCATGTGAGATGAAGCTCCCTTAACTACTAGGCCATGAGACTGGGCCAAGTTTGAAATTATAATCTTCCTGAAGAATTAATTAGAGTCAATAACTTGAAGTCTATTTTTGTTTTATTTTTACTGTAGTGATATCAAGCTTCTTTTGATTAGCATGTGCCTTATATATCACTTTTCATTGTTTAAACTTGAATGAGTTCTGTTATAGATATGTTTATTATAAATAGCATGTAGCGTGATTTCTTTTCTTTTTTCTGAGTTCCTTTTAGATTGAATTGGTTAATCATAATCATTACCTTCCACCAAACCAGATCAAAGCTGTTATACCCACCCTTCCTCCCAATTTATATGCTTCCTATTAATGTATTCAAGATTTTTTAAAACCCTTCAAATTCAACAATACTGTAATTGTTTTATACTACTATTGAAGCTTTATGGTTTTCTTTATTTATAATTCCTTTTTATAACTCAGCCTTCCTCTGGGATCAATTTTCTCCTTGAAGTACTTCCTGTTGACATTCCTGTAGAAGCATTCTCTTAACAGTGAATGAAGTCTCCTGTTTCATCTGATAATATCTTTATTTTCCCCTTCATTCTCTAAAGGTAGTTTTGCTCTCAGCCTTTTTAAACTGTTATTCAAATGGATTTTAGCCCCCAGTATTTCTAATGATATGTCACTCATCTTTTTTTTAATGCATTTTCTCTTAATGCATTTTCTCTTTTCTTTGCCTTTAGTTTTCATAAATTTCTTTAGTATCTGGTTATTTATTTTGCTTGAAGATTGGGCTTTCAGTTCAGAAAATGTGTTAGCTAATATTCTTCTAATATCAAGTCCCTTTATTCTCTATCTGTTCTTTCCCTTTGGAAGTCTGAGTTTGTTTAGGTTTGGTTTGCGTTTTTTTTTTTGGTTAAGAATTATTTTAACTAGTTGTTATTATTATTATTATTATTATTATTTTCTAATTCAAGCATAGAGAGACAGAGAGAGAGAGGGAAACTAAGAAAGGAAGCCAGTAGGTTTGGGACTTGAACCATGGTTGGTCATGAGGGAGTCCAGTGCTTTTAACTACTGTGCCACCTGCTGGCCCCTGTGTTTTCTTGTACAAGACTGCTACATTGTATTTTGCATAATTTAATACCTTTCATATCTGGTGTCTCCTTGTCTCTATACTACATTCCTAGTAATTTCTTTAGATCTGCTTCTTAGTTATTTTTAACTTTTGTCTAGTCTAATAAACCTGTTTATTAAACTTCTTTTCAATTACTTTTTTTTTGCCTTTTCATGAAGTTTTATTGTTTCAATAATTTTCAGGTTTGCTCATCAGTTTTGATAGTCTTCTGTTCCTTTGTCATATTATGGTTCCTTTGTTTTTCTTTGAGCATAGTAAACATAATTCTTCACATTTATATCTGATTCTCTTATTTGTGGATCTGTAATTTGTTGGTAACCTAAGATACTTTGTACTTGATCCCTAGGGATTCTTTGAGACCTATATTAAAGAAGAATTTCTTCAGAAAAGATTCCCTTTGCTCTAGCAGGTTGTTTAAGCTAATCTTCATACTTAGGGATTTTGATTGCCATAGGAAAGGTAAATTTTGAACCTCAAGGCCTTGTAAAGTTAGCAATTATTAGCATAATTATAAAGAAAGACTTTTGTTTTTTAAATTTCTATACCATATACCCTGGATTTTGCTTTTCTGGAAAAAATCTAAGTTTATGAGTAAATCTTTGATCTTACCCCAACCCCAAAGTATTAGCTCTTTAATACCCAAGCCCTGCACTGAACAAATGCCATCAGGACTCTTTGCTATCGATGTCTCTCCTCATTTCCAGCCCTCAGTTGGTTCCATACTTTGAAAAATGTTTTTTAAAACATTATTAGTAACTTTACTAGTGTTTGTTTGTTTATACTTTATCATTTGAGTTATCCTGGGCCGAAGTTTCTAATTCATGTATTAGTCCTCAATACTGCTAAAAAAAAATGTCACCCCTTGCTGCTTTATCAGTTTGTTTTCCTTTCTCCACTGTTGATAGACCTGGCCTTTGAGCTATACTCATAGTTTAGACAGCATCTCCCCACTAAGGACTGTTTTAAGTTTTTACTTAAATAGATTAAAAAATGAGCAAAGCATTAGACTACGAAGATTCTCTTTTTAATTATCCTAAAATTATGAGGAAAAATAAGTGTCTTTTGTCCAATGCAACCATTTTTTTTTTGGTGTAGCACTGCCTGCACCAAAGAAATGGTTCTTGGTAAAGTGGCAGGGAGGGTACTCTGTTACAGGCCTAACTGACCATTTAGAAGTGCTATTATGCTTTACCCCTTACATTGTAGTGTTCATATCTGTTTCATAGCAGCTTGCTCAGAGACAGTGTTTATTGTCTCTATTAAAAATAGTCGATATTCTTAATATTTCTTAAGAAATACTTATGTTCTGTTTCACAGCGTAGTTTTATTTTATTCAGGTATATTAACTGTACACTAGGAGGCAATATAATCCAACTTTTTAATGTCGAGAACTTGGCAGTGAAATTGTTTCAAATTATTGTTTGTGAGCAAAAAGTGATATTCATTTCAAAATGTTTGATCAGGGCTTAGAAAATATTCAGAGTTAAATCTGTTTGAATTTAAGATCTTAATTTTTCTTTTTAAGTCTTAATTTTAACCTTCCATTTTAACAAGAGTGCCTTGTTAAGGAACAGATCAGTTATTTTGCTTCCAATCCAAATGCTAAGTGTTTGTCTGGAATGGTAGGCCTCTGTCAACACACATGATTTGCTAATCATTGCCTGGTTTAATTACTTCTGAGAGAATTTGTTTCATGATACAGCCTGTTGATTATAAGTACAGTTTTAGAATAGTACCTCTGAGATATGTTAATTAGTATTTAATAGTAGTTTGTTAAATATTGCAATTTTTCATTATTACAGAGGGTCATTAATCCATAATGCAAATAAATATACTGACTGAGCCCTTTTTAATGTCCTTTATTCCTCTGTCGTGTATTTTAGTTTCTTTAAATTTCTTTTGTTCCTTTGTATTTTTTTCTATTATGGTTCTTCTCTTATGTTTTCTCTTTCCTATCGTTATTAAAGTTACTTTGTGTGAAACAAATGGCTCATACCTGGATTATAGATTAAATAAGGAAATTCTTCAGTATTTATTCATTTGTTTAAGTACTCTCTTTTTAAAATTTTACTTATCATCCCTTTTATTTTTTTAATCTGCCATAGGGCACAGGCATTCACCAGAGGGAAAGAGAGAGAGTGAGAAAGCAAACCATCAGTTCTGTAACTTGAACTTGGTCGGCCATGTGTGAGTCCACCACCCTAACCACCATGCCACCTGCTAGTTCTCAGTTATTTTTAGTCTCTTGTTTTTCTAGAAATGCACAAAAAGAGCCTGAAGAAAATACTAATGTCCAGGTAATAAAGGTTCCTTTTCTGCTGCCACATCTACTTAGGTCGCAGTTTCTTTTCTAGCTTCATATTGAATCTTAGCCCACTCATTTCATCACTGCTGTGGTTACTTTTTTTATATATATACCAAGTCACACGTTTTTTATTCAATCCTGTGTTTATCTGTTTTTCAGATTGTAAAACTAGCTATTTATGGCATGCTGCCGAAAAACCTCCACAGAAGAACACTGATGCAAAGGTTGCATCTTTTCCCTGATGAGGTGAGTCAGTGAAGATGAGTAATGATGCTTCTGTAAATTGTCAAGTAAATGTTTTCTCTCTTTTTTAAAAGCAGTTGCTGTGAATGTGTTTTCATTTATATCTGTTCTCCCTGTGGAAGCGCCCACAGACTTATTCCATTCTGATGTCTTACCTTTCTTTCAGCAGTCCCCCAGATCAGCTCTTACCTATCTCACAGGGCAGTTCCTTCCAGCTGCCTTACTTCTGGGTCCTGGGCACAATGTGAACGTTAGTTCTTTGATTACACACACTCTTTGTTTTGTTATTTCCTTTATTAAGTCTGTCCAAACCAGTACTTCCTTCTTTCAAGATCTCTCTCAGGTACATGCCTTAATCTTTAGTTTCCTTTCATTACCCAGATTCAGGCTTTTCCATCTTACTTGGATCACTAAGTAGCCACTTAACTGTTATCGTTCTAATTATTTCCCCCACCACAGTCCGTTCTGCCTTCCGTTGCCAGGCCTGCCTGCCAACTTTTTAATTTTTCTGAACATGTAGATATATAATAGGGAAAGTAGGTCTGGACAGAGGTTATACTGATAATAAAAAGTTCCAGGATTTGAGTCTGGGTCAACACATGGAAGATGAGGAGGTTCTTAAGTTAGAAGCCATAGGTGCATGTGGGGAATTGAAACTGAAGAGGTGGGCTAGCAGTGGGGACACTGATTTAGACTGTATCCTGAGAGGTGATATTTTTTTAATTGTAAGTCTGTAGATGGCATATCTTTTCACTTTCTTTTATATACTCAGCATGTAGCATAATACCTGGTTTGCAGAAGTTTAAGAAATGTTTCTTGGGACCAGCAGTTAGCATAATGGCTATGTCGCTGGACTTCCATGTAGTCGACTATGGTTCAAGTTCCAGACCCAGTGGTTTAATCTCACGCCGGGCATGTGTGCATGCGTGCCCAAGATCCCGAGAGGAGAATGGAAGTGAAGGAATTGCCGTGTGGCCATCCCCCCTGGGCGGTGATTTCTTGCTTTCTGTCTCTCTGTCTCTCTCTGTCTTTCTGGCAAGCGCACGTGCCCTATAGCAAAAACCTCTCCAAAAAAAGGAAAAAAACGTTCAATAAATGTTTTTTAAATAAGTAAAGACTCAAAGGCCCAGCAGATTTTCCTTTTCAGAACTTTTTTCTTTTATAACAGAGTATTGGTAGTAGCACTGGACACAAATTTAAAGGTTATACTTACTTTCTGTAAACAATTCAGCCTACTTTTTTAACTCTTTAAGTATTACTAATTTATTACTAAGAAAAATATTTTTAAAATTTTAATCCTAAAACTTTTTAATGTAGAATATTCCAGAAGATATTCTGAAGAATTTAGTGGAAGAACTACCTCAACCACGAAAAATACCTAGACGTCTAGATGAGTACACACAAGAAGAGATAGAGGCTTTCCCAAGAGTGTGGTCTCCGTAAGTGTCTCTTTCCTCTTTCCTTTTTTCTTTTTCTATTTTTTTTTTTTCATGCCAAATTTGGTATCCTCTATTTTCTCAACCCAGTGATAAGGTCCATGAGAATGGAAGTGTGACCTCATTTTTTTACTCACTTACAAACCTAGCAGCTACTTCCTACAAATAAAGTCTAGATGTAGAAGTTGGAACCAAAAGTCCATAAGCCTTAAAAGTGCTTGCTAGGGGGGACCAGCAGTTAGCTAATGACTATGTTGCTGGACTCCCATGTAGTCGACCGCGGTTTGCATCCCTGACCCGGTGGCTTGAAACTCACACCAGGCACGTGTGTGTGCATGCCCAAGATCCCGAGAGGAGAATGGAGGAGAAGGGATTGCGGCGTGTCCATCCCCCTGGGGGGATGATTTCTCGCTTTCTGTCTCTCTGTCTCTGTCTTCTGGCTAGTGCACGCGCCTTATAGCAAAAAAAAAAAGAAAAAGAAAACTCTCCAAAAAAATAAAAGAAAATAGTGCTTGCTAGGTGAGTGCAAGCATGGCAGGGATGTTGATGGGTGTCTGTGATTGTCAGATGTCTTATTTGGGATGCCCTTACTGTTTTTTTTGAATGATAAATAAATTGTCATTAACCTAAAACAAAGGGACTCTCAGTTTTACAGTTACTTCATAGGCAAAGAATATTATCTAATAAAAAAAATCATTAATTCTGGATACTTGGAGAAAGTCTCCATCAAGTAGAAAAACAAATTAAAAATAAATAAATAATACTTTCTGCTGTTGTGCATACAGTTCCCCTACCTAAGTTCCATAAGACTGCTAAGATTTGACATGCTGTCTCGCATCTAATTGTTTCCAGGCTTCTTTGCCCCAAATAAACAGATGATGAAGTGTTTAAATGCAGCTTCCTCAGGCAATCATTTCGGTAATCTTTGAACTGGGTTAGGCTCTCCATTATAGGGTCTCTTATGCACTTTGAATATTCATCTACTGCATGTGTTCTTCTATAGTTAAATCTTTGTGTGATTATCTATTTAGTGTCTTTTTCCCTGATCAGACTTTATAAGAGAATTACAGGTTTGCATTTACCACTGAACATAGTGCCTGGTCTATGAAGTCAGCAGTCAGCTAATATTTTTTGAATGAATTAGTGAAGACATAGTATTTCCTTTTACCAGCTTTTGTAAGTGAAGTTAGAAAAGAATCTTTAGAAAATAAGCAAAAAATTTTTAATCTTTCATTTTTTTCATAGCATTTACCATTATTGAATGATCTTAATGATTTTATTTATTTATATACGTGTTTATTGTCTGTCTCCTGCAGTAAGAGCAATAATAAAAGTAGCATACCCTAATAAGATGTTTACTGTATACCTTACAAGTATTACCCTATTTAATCATCAGCAACCTAATGAACTAGTAGTTTTTATCCCATTTGTAAATGAGAAAATATGAGGGGAATAATGCTTTAAAGTGCAGGCTTGTTTTGGTATACGAAAACATTTGAAATCCACGTATAGTGGTCTTATAATATACACAGTTCCTATAGGCACAGAGATAATGCAGCTTGTCTGAGATCACACATATTAAGTGGCGGCTTGGGAATCAAACCTGAGCTGACTCTCTTCTGGGTCACGTTCTTCCGCTGGCATGCCTCAAGTTACATTGGAATGTCAGCTTCCTGGGGTCAGGGATGTTGTCTTGTTCAGCACTTAAAATCTTTATCACCAAGACTTAAGAAATGACACTTGTTACATTGCAGATACTCAGGAGGTGTTTTTGAAAGAATGAAGAGATGAGATCTTTCCCCTAAAAATTAATTTTGAAGTTGTCATAAATAACATAATAAAGTTTTAGGAAAATTTATATCTAGGTTCAAATCTTGTCTCCTGAGTACTTAGGTCTCTTAACCTGAACTAAGTTATCATTTTGAGGCTCATGTTTCTTATTTTATTCAACCATGTAGTAGAGTTCATTGGTATTCAGAGGGTTGCTGGAAGGAGTAAATGAGCTAATATATGAATATTCAGCACACTCTCAGTGCTATCCAGGTTTTTAATAAGGTAATTTTTTTTGTTTTGCTATTAGTATTATAAATGCTACATCATTTTAACATATTTACTAATGTCACATTTTATATAAATATACCTAAGTTTATGTAACTCTTATATTCAGCCTTGATAAGTTATATGCTAACAAAGTATTTGGGGGAGCAGGGTAGTAGCACAGCAGTAAGCCAGGCTGACCCCCATGGGAAGGTTCTGGGTTCGATTTCCAGAAGCCTCCCTGACTATGCTACACACACACACACACATGACTGTAATCCAGGGCTAGTTGAGGTTTGTGGTAGATTAGGGGTACTGTCTCTTTCTCTCTAACTCCTGGAGAAAACAAGTAAACTTCAAAAATAAAATAAATACAATTAGCTGAATAAAATTATAAAGTGTTTTAAGTAGTTGAAGTTTTGGCAGTTTACATTTTCATAACAAGTTCTGCAAATATAAGTTTGTCCTATCTGATCATCTTACAGCAACACCATCATAAATGAAGTTACATTGCTGACCAAGACAAGTGTGGTACCCTTTTTATAACTAGAAATGCCAAAGGCGCTGTTGAATCAAATATATGACCAAACACATATTATACACATGAGATTGTAAATCATGAACATTCTAAAATGTATTCTAAGTCAGTTTAACCACATAGTATAATAATATAATAAACCATTCACAACAAATTATATTAGTGTTATTTTACTTAAGTTTTCATCAAAATGCTCATTTTATTAAGTACTTTCTACTTTATTTTAATAAATTAGAAAGTGACTGGGTGCCTTCATTATATTAATGGGATTAGGAAAGCTTTTGTATGATTATTTTTAAGGAAACTTTTAGAGCAACTTAGCTACTTGTCACATTTTTGACTTACTACTTAGGGAATGGGTTTTCCTGCTTTCTTTTCATTCCAAGTTTCCCTTTGGCAGAAATATGCATTAGACACTGAACCTTCCTTCACACTTTTTTTAAGTTGTGATTTTTTTCCTTTAAATAGTCATGCAACATATGTTAACTTAGGTTTGCCAAGTAATAAAGTGGATATATACTTACTGAAACTTGAGGATATATCATGATACAGGTCTACTGGTCTTTTAACATAAATCATTTGACATTTCATTCTCCTTGCACTTCAGAGCTGACATTAAGTCTAGTTTGTCTTTATTTCATTAAAAGCATATGACCAGGGTGAATTCATTATCTAAGAAATAAATAATTTTTCAGCTCAAGGCAATTAAGTAGAACAGTATGCAATGAAAAGCTCTCGATCTGAGCTGTAAGTACCATGGCTACTGGCCACACATTAGTGTTAGAGTTAAGACCCTGGACACACCATGTAATGCAATACATTGAAAATGGCATTTCTTGTCCTTAGAAGGCTTACTGTGTAACAAAAAGTTTTTTCTCCTTTTGGAGGAGGAACCTCTTTAAAAAATGCTTTCATTCCACCCAAACTAGCCAAGCCAAGAATATAATCTTCTTTTGGAAAGTAGCAACAAATTTGTTCAAGATAGATCTGATGGTGAATCTGAAGAGACTTGAGTGAAGTGATTATACTACAATTAGACACAAAAAGAGCTTGTTTTAGTTTTTGTTTCCCTAGTAATAAAACTTATATATTTATAATATAAAAAGTCTATCTTTTTTTGTTTTGTTTTGTTTTAAATTTTGCTGAGGGTACATGTGCTTGCCAGAAAGAGAGAGAGAGAAAGAGAGAGGGAGAAAGATAGAAAGCAAAAAAGCCCCCCCACCCCCATGTTTCATGGTTCACAGTCACACCCCAATCTCTCACCTGCATCCTCCCTCCTTTCAGAATTTTAGGCACACATGCTGTTACAAACTTTTGCTTAAATCTAAGTTTATTGGCTTTTCTTTTAGAACCTAAATGCTTTTGAGCAACCGTAGCAATATTCGGGCTGAGGTATGAACTCAGATAATTAACGAATTGATTGTTTTCATTTTAATTAACTACAGCCGTTGTTGGGATTTTATTTTTATTCTTTTAATTAACTTCCAGAGGTTATATTATTTCTGGCCTAATTTCAGCATACACTTTCCTTCTTGGTCATTAGTTGGTTTAGTCTTTTTTTTTTTTTTTTTTTAGGTTTTTGCAGTAAGGTGCGAGTACTCAATAGAGAGAGTCAGAGACAGGGGAACTGAGAAATCACCGCCCCCCCCCTCCCCCAGTGGGAATTGGCCACACCACAGTCACTTTTCCTCCATTCTCCTCTTGGAATTTTGGGGAAGCAAGCACACATACCGGGCATAATTTTTAAGCTTACAGGTCTGAGACTCAAACCGTGTTTGTAGTACAGTGCCTTAACCACCACACTACCTGCTGGCCCCAATTTAGTCATTTTTAAAACAATTGTAAGATATAAATAATATCTGTATTCATGACACAACTATATATATATATATATTTTTTTTTTTTTTTCCTTGAGAGAGAG